TTTTTCAACCCTGTTACTGCATCCATTTGCTGTCGTTCAAGCATAAACCACCACAAAACCTTCATAAATAGAGATAATGTTCCTTTTATCAAGTCACCTTTAAGTATGACAACAGCTACCAAGAACAGGAAAAAAAAAAGGAAAAATAAAGTAATATTAAAAACTCTTCATCTGTTCAGGTAAAGTGAAACAGTGGCATCCTTGGCTTCTAGTAGTCATTTCTACACACTGAAATCTTTAGTTAAATCACATGAATTTAAACAGCATGTCATAGATACCCATTTAGACAGTTGTTTTCATTGGGGATTTCCACCGTGTGACTCTTCAGTTCTACGTAAGATCTTTTTCAACCCTGTTACTGCATCCATTTGCTGTCGTTCAAGCATAAACCACCACAAAACCTTCATAAAAACAGACATTGTTACTTTTAAGGCACTCTTTACATATCACGGCAGCTATCAGAAGCACTTACAGAAAACTAATGGTAAAAAGCTGTCATGTGCTCGAGGAGAAAGACACTGAGGCCGTCCTGGCTTCTAGTTGCCATTCACCTCCACACGCTGCCAGTTTTATTATAATCAAATGAATACAATAGCATCTCATAAATACCCCACTTAAAAAGTCATTTTCTCCGGCTGCAACGTGTTTTGCTGTCCATCGCGGTGAGGCGTGAATGAGCAACATGTTTAATTCAGATGCAAAGCAATTTGCAGACAGCTCGTTCCCTCACACACACACTTTGCGAGGACACAAGCATCTTAAAGTCTTCTGCCAATGGGATACTAACCCACAGACTTTTTTTAAGGATTCACACACACACAGAAAAAATCCTAGCAGAGGACACACACCTCCCACTTATGACCTGGAGTTTCATTTACTGTACACGCGAGTCGTTTCTCCATATTTATCCCAGTAAATCGTGTCACATTTATTACCGCTACGCTTGCCGGCACTCTATTACAGCAAGGTCCAGATTCAGCTCTGGCAGGAGATCAGCTCGGTGATAGAGAAAGTTATTACAAAGATTTCAGGCATGGAGGCGGCCAACCCCCAGTGTGGACGGTTACGCCGGGCCGGCGTGAAGTTCAGTACCCGTACAAAAGAGCACTTTGCAGTATTGTCCAGTGTCATGGCACAAAAATGGTATTGAAGTATTTTGGTACCGAAATTCATGTGCTATGGTAATAATACTATGGTATTTTTGGAAGCACATGGTACTTCCATGATACATGTCCAAAATAACATGGAAGTTACTAATAATATGTTTGGAGTACCAATAAATATCATGGTAAATACTATGACAATTATACAGAACCACAGTATTACCATCCAATACCATCACTTTACCATGGTATCACTATGGTATCACTATGGTATTTCTTTGTACTTGTGGACGGTGCAGTGTAAACCACTGACACCAAGAAATTCCATCAAAATCCTGTTGTTTTCTGAAAATCAGAATTCAAAATGAACAGGAAGTTGAGGGAACATCAGTGTTATTGTAGATTTACCTGATAAAACACTTTTTTAAAATCTAGATGTTGGTATGTTGACAAATAGATGTTTAGACATGTCAACAAGCTGAGGTCATTGCGAGTCCTTACTGGAAGGACAAACATACAGGAAATCTATAATATCTCTCAACTTCCTGTTCTGTATGATGACTTCCTATTGGTTGACAGGAAGTTATGGTTTAACATTTTTCACATTAACAGGAGTGTGCGAATTTTAACATCTCTTTTTCCTCAAAATGAGTGTTTATTTAACTGTTAAACTATCACTTCCTGTCAACCAATAGGAAGTCATCACATAAAGAGGAAGTTGAGCGACATGGTAGTCTTCCAATAGGCCTATGTGTTGTCCTTCCACGAAAGACTCAAAAAGATTTCAGTATGCTGACAAATGGACGTTAATAACCACATTAGCACAATGCTAAAATGTGGAAATGTGAGCTATTATCAATTATTAGCTCTATTACTTATTAAATTATATTATAATTTAATTATTATATTTTTAATTATTATTAAATTATATACAATTTTGTTTAAAAAACACTAAAAGCTAAAATACAGCTTTTTAAATGCTAGTGTTATTGAATTATTAATGTTTTTCAGTTTAATTGAGTGCAAGATGACAGCAAAAGCTATTTTTATATCAAAACAGGGAAAAATAAGCAAGCACAATTAAACATCCAATAATAACAATAACAAATACTTAAAAAAAAAAATCTGGAATATTATCTAATAACCAATATGGTACCAATATACTGTGCATCCCACCCAGTCTCTGATCAGCCACGTAAAGCGCACAACATAAACCTTAAACGTGCAGAAATAAACAGAGGAAATGAGAAAATTCCAGCTAGAAAGTATGTGTGTGTGTGTGTGTGTGTGTGTCTCACACTTGACTTTGACATGAAAGTTCTGTGCCGCTGCTCTAGGCCGTCTACAGATGATTTTGGAACAGCTCAGCAATGTCCTTTTGTTTCAGCGCATAAAAACACAAACCTTTCCATTTTCATGTCCCTGAATATTGCTGATCTGAGAGGAAGCCGTTTACAGCTACAGGATCTGGATTATGTAAAGGATATAGAGCGGTGAAAAAAAAATCCTCTCAGCTTCCACTGGCAGACTGTCACTTCACAAGCACAAAAAACACACGGAGCAGGAGATTAACTGTCAGCAGACGAGCCGTTTTCAAGCTCTGGCCTCAAAACTCAACGTCCAGTGCTGTACTTTAGTAGAAAAGCTTGTCCTTGTCTTAAAACGCATTGATACCATACTTACTTCTGATTCAGACAAATTCCAAGGACCAGCAGTGATATGATGCTTTTCACTGTAAACAGTAGAGCCCGACCGATATGGGTTTTTTGAGGGCCGATGACGATACCGATATTAGGGAGTAAAAAAGGCAGATATCGATATATATCGGCCGATATTCTTTATGTGTATATTATAGTACAGTACCAGTCAAAAGTTTGGACACTTTCCCATTGGTGTGTCCAAACTTTTGACTGGTACTATATATAGAATGCAATATATACATAAACAGAATATATATACTAGGGCTGTGTATTGGCAAGAATCTGGCGATACGATACGTATCACAGGAAAGCTGTCATAAAGAACACACCACCATATGCAAACCTTAGCAATAAATAAATAATTTAACCAGAACACAGTGGGATCTGCATTTGCAATAATCAGTCCCTGTAATATTCAACATTATTGAGTCAAGGGGGGGAAATTAAAGTGCTTGCCGCATCCTTTAGTTAAATGTGTAATATGTATTTTATAAAAAGACCATATATGTTTTTAGACCCTGCTTTAAAGGTTCACATTTTAAGTTTACAATTATAACATACAATGTCATAACATTTTGATCTGAACAAAAGAATTACATCTGCTTAATATCAATGAAGAATAAAATGACTAAAGAAACAATAAAATAACACATGCTAAACATTCTCAGAACCTTTCCACTTGGATTTCACAGGTTTTTCAGTTAGTATTAATGTTCCACGTGGAATCGCCTAAACCGCGACGCAAGCACCGGCCCAACTGCACAAACTGCTCCCACCACGAGAGAATTTATTTATTTAGTTCTTTTTTAAGAACTATCAGTAATACATACTAATAGACTAAATTTGAAAAAGTTATGTTTCTTATTTTTATTTATACTTTTGTTAAAGCAGTTAGCAGCTTTCTCTCGTGGTGGGAGCGTTTTGTGCAGTTGGGCATTTATAGTTTTAACTAGGGATGCATGCACCGATACCACTTTTTCCAGTATCGGTATCGGTGCATCCCTAGTTTTAACAAAAGTATAAATAAAAATAAGAAACATAACTTTTTCAAATTTAGTCTATTAGTATGTATTACTGATAGTTCTTAAAAAAGAACTAAATAAATAAATAAATTACACAAGGAATTTACATACAACTATATACATTTTTTGTTAGTTATGCATCTTTTTTCAAAGGATATTTAATTTATTACCATTTACAATTTTAACAAAAAAATATAAATTAAATTTAACAAATGTCAGTTTTTCCAGTTTACTGTATTAATATTTATTAATTGTTCCTGATACAGTCCTGAATATTTATTATTTAAATATTTAAATAAACTATTTAGACATATAATCTACATACACGCATAACTATAATAATTTGATTGCTTTATGCATCATTTGCATCATCAGGAAATTGAATTTATTACCATTAACACTTTAACAAAAATTCTAAATTAAAATCAATAAATGTCAGTTTTTCCAATTTATTGTATTACTATTTATTGCTCCTGATTTATCTTTGATTTAGTTCCTATTTTCCATATTCATATTTCCATATTTTTCGAATGAAATTTCAATTGATCACCATTTACAGATTCATAAAGCAACGATAAGAAGATAAACTGATAAGTACATTTATTCCACACTACTTTATTTATACCACTCCATTTATTACAAACCAGTAGTGGCTAAAACCCTACAGCGAACTTTACAACCAGAGATAAATAAAACATATCAGAGCTAGAATATTATAGAGGCTTAAATATGGGCTTTTTTTTTTTTTTTAAATGGACCACCTGGAAACGGCCCCACAACACTCTTCCAATTGTGTTGGTGATTTTTGGCCATGTAAACCCCACTCATTTTATCTTCAGAGGAAGTAAAAATTGTGTTGTTATTCTCATTGTGTGTTCTTGCAAAACTGTGGACATAAAGGTGTCAGTCTCATAATCAAATTCAAGCATCTCGAATCTCTCCCCCTATTACATTTTCCTTGAGCTGCAGCAGAATCATTTTGTGAAGTGCTAAAAGCTCAGGTCAGGTCTGGATGTGAGCCGTACCATCTGCTATCAATGTGCTTCTGCAGAATTGCAGAGCTCACCACCAAAACTTTGACACTCACGTTGTTAATTCAGACGTGACAGCTTGACTGTTCCTCGTGCTTGCTAGGTATTACACAGTTTAATCGCGTCGCTCTCAAAATGACAAACCTGTCCTCACTGAAGCATCCTTCCGGCTAACGGCAAGGCGCTTAGCACACACGGCAGCTTGGAGGAGGAGGAGGAGCCAGTCGCCCACCGGTCGGATCCGGTCCTGCCGCGCCCTGGCACAGGCACTCGCGGCCCAGCCTGCCGTAACAGCTTGGATAGTCGCAGGGGGTGATGGGATACTGGAGGGCCTGGACTTCGTGTCGGGGCTGGGGGGAAGGAAAGAGGTGTTTTCATAGCTTCCGCCCTGCAGAGCGCACACAGTGGTAGACGGAAAACTGCGACAGCTCATGGGACGACCCTCGAACCGCAGAGCTAGAAGGTGTTTTCTTACAAAATTGACCGTGGTAACCTTAGTTTCGGTTAAAATGCCACACTTAAGATAGTTATTACTCGAAGCAATCATACTTGCGATCGACAATAAAACGGGCTAGAAATCCCACAGACTTGAGTGTCGGTTCTTTTGACTCGGACCAGTAAGAAACCACCTAGCAACCGTCCAGAAGACCTTGGCAACCGTGCAGTAATGTGCTAAACACTAGGGGTGCTCCGATCAGGATTTTTGAGGCTGATCACCGATCGCCGATCACAGAAAGCAGTATCTGCCGATACCGATCACCGATACCCATCTTTTTAAAGCCTTCTTTGTATCATTTATAACTATATATATAGAGATACCACAATCAGGATTTTTAGACATTTATTTAGGCCTGAATTTCATTTTTGAAAATTGGGGGAATTCCCCTCTTAGGTGTCTCTTGTGAGAGGGGAAGCAGCTTTCACACAGGAGTTTACGGAGTTTTTACTTCTAGATTTATATATTAAGTTGCTCAAGCAAGTAGCAAAACATTTAAACTACTTTTCTTACGTCAAACTTACCATTGACAGAAATAGTCAGCTCTACTGCCTTTCCTTTTGCATTTGAATCTTTATTCAGCATCTGAATTTCCTACCTCCACGAGTATCATCTATTATTGCCTTGTTTATCTAAAAGTGCTCTTTCCCTTTAAACCTAGCCAAAAAGCCATATGTGTTGACTGTGAAACACAGTAGGCTTTAATATTTAATAATAATAATATTTATGGTGTAATTACTACATTTTCGTGTCAATCCATGTTCATATTTACTGCTAAAAATGCGCTGTTAGGAAAGCTTGAGATCGTTTTTTTGAGATCGGCCTTTTTAGAGACCGCCGATCAATCATCCCAAAGCGATTATCGGCTGATAGTGATCGGTAGCCGATCAATCGGAGCACCCCTACTACAAACCACACAAAACCCCTTAGCAATCACAGTTTAACAACATAGCAGCAACTAAAACTGAAACCATGTGAATGCAATCATGTTATCGTAAATAAAAATAACTGGGAAAAGCTGGAACTAGACTAAAATATATTTTTATGACTCCAAAGCTAAACTAAACTGAAATAAAAATCACCACAAAAAAATCTAAAGTCAGAAAAAGAAATCTAGAATCTAGGGGGGAATTCTAAAATAAAATAAAAGTAACAACTGAAAACTGAAAAAAACGGACTAAATTAAAATACCAAGCTAAAATACTAGTTAAAATGTTAAGCCTTAAAATACTAAAACTAAAACCAAAAGAAAAACTAAATAAACAAACTAGAAAACAGAAAAAAACTCAAAAGAAATAAAAAAATAACAACAATGATAGACTGAAAAATGACAAAAATTTGACTAAATTAAAATATTAAGGTAAAATACTAGTTCAATTACTAAGTCCTAAAATACTAAAATCAAAATGAAAACTAGTTAAACGAACTAGAAAAAAAATTAATAAATAAAATGATTAAATGAAAACTGAAAAATTACACTAAATTAAAGACAAATTGGGGGAAAAAACAAATAAAAACTAAAAAAAAAATTATAACCCTATATGAAGGACTTTATCTCAATAAAATAGGGATAACTTAGTTAGCTAAAGCTGTCACCAACAAAAAGTGCATATCAATTTTGATCAAACAGAAATAGAAAATAGGTGAAAATATGGTTCCCATGGTAAATCGTTTGTAAAAAATGTAATAACTACTGCAATCATAAGTGCAATTAATATTCATACACAGCTAGTAGAAAATCTGTTAAATGAGGTGAGGCCAGCCGACAGTCACTGATCAGGGGTCGTAGCATGATAGAAATGGGTTCATAACACAAGAAAAATTGGATTAATTGCATTCAAAAGGTTTCGTGTCACAATTACCTTCACGGATACATTTGAAAGCACATATTACCCAGTAAACGAGGCCATTTTCACTCAGGTAACTTGAACAAACTTCAGAGTTGGTCTCCGGGCTGCAACTACAAACCATGTTTTTCATGAAGAATATCAGGCGCTGGGAAATGATTAATTTTTATAACCACGACAATGATTTGGTTTCCTTTCTCGCACTCAAATGAAGTGATAAAAACCGCTCTATTAGGCCCTGAATAAATGAGGTATGGTAATATTCGTTCTGGTTTTGCCGGGGGGCGAATCGTCATTCACCAATTAGCTGAACAGCAGGACGAGGAGCCTGCTGGGGGGGGGGGTTCACCTGTCACGAAAAAGGAGAAAACCTGAGAACGGTTTTCATTCCTGTAGGTTCGAGAGCCGCGACTGACAGCAGGGGGAAACCAGGACTGCATCAACCTCTGAGCAAAAATGATGGAGGAACAAAGAAGGGGGGGGTTACATGCTTTTAAATCTATGACACAGATTACACATGCTTGTGAAATGAAATGCTTCAGCATCTGAAGCGAAGCTTACGCCATCATACTCCTACACTACAGAACATTATGTCTATAAAACAAGAGCTTATTTAGGCCTGCTACTGTTATAGTGCATATAAACAGATTTATGTCCTACCCGGCCGCAAAACAACATTTTGATTGACAAGTAGGTCATCTGTCCACATTATAAAACAAAAATGCTGCACAATGCAACAAAATGTAGTGTTTAATATACAGTTATGTGGAGTGGAACTCTGGACCAATGAGATCCTGTTATAGTGCATATAAACAGATTTATGTCCTACCCGGCCGCAAAACAACATTTTGATTGACAAGTAGGTCATCTGTCCACATTATAAAACAAAAATGCTGCACAATGCAACAAAATGTTTTAGTGTTTAATATACAGTTATGTGGAGTGGAACTCTGGACCAATGAGATTCCGCTGTGGGCGGGGCTACACAGTGAGGTGACCTATAGAAATAGAACCCAACTGGTCAATAAAACAACCTCTTGTGGATTCTTGTGACAAAAATTCAGATTAAAATGGAAGAGATGGCATTTAAAATTGCTTTGTCACAGTGCTGGACTGGAACTACAGGAAAAAATGGGATCCTCTCAAAGAGCTTACATCAGGAAGACAAGTTTGGACCGGTTCAAGAATGCCAGAGAGACGCCAGAAAACTTTTGCAACAGTTCAAATCGGCAAACAAAAGCGAAAAGAGATGGTTGGCATAATATATCATAACCAGTTGCAGCATAGCACATTTTCCCAGCCAAGTGAGTTTTCTATCTGCACTGAAAGTGAAAATTCTGAGAGAAGCAACAAAATCACAGATTATCAGAAAATATTTGATGTTTTATTTAAGTTTAATAAAATAAATTAAATATGAAAATAGAAAAAATATTAAAAGAAAAAAGAACAAAGTTGCAAACCATAAAATGTCTTCTTGTACTTGACTACAGTGTACTAAAGTATTAAAAATACACTAACATACTGTTTAAATATTACATGAAACACTTATTTCAGTTAATTGCCAAGGCAATAATTATTTTTTAACATTTTTTATTTTAGATTAGGGTTAAGTTGAAGTACTACAATTACATGTTTAAGCTTTAGTCATTTTGTTATATGCTTTTGTTAATTTTATTATTTTTGTCATTTTGATTATTATTTTAATATTATTTATATACCATATTCTTTTTAATATTTTAATTGGCTTTTATATTTACCGTTTTAATTTACATTTTTGTTGACATTTTAGTAATTTTGCTTTGTGCTTTTGTTATTTTTAGTAGGGTTTTTTATTTTACAGGTTGAATTTTTATAATTTTTTGGTACTTCAACTTTTTTATTTCATTTAGTTGCCAAGGCAACATTTTTAATTTGTAACATTTTTTATATTTCTAATTTTAGTTTGAGTTTGAGTTGAAGAACTAAAATTCGAAAAATTTAATCTGAAATAAAAATAAATTCAAACTGCACAGAAATAAAAAACAACAACAATAATAATGACAAAAGCACTTAACAAAATTACTAAAACTAAACAAAAATGAAAACTGAAAATATTAAAGCTAATTAAAAATACAATAATGATGTATACACTATAGTAGTACTAAAGTAATACTGCTTCAGTAGTTGGCACAAACTCAGATCAACATTTATCCTTTGTCGGTTTTTCACTTTGTGCCTACTAGGACTTAAATCACTGAGAGTCGACAAATCGAAGTCAATAAATGTCATTTGCAACACATTTTGCAGAATATTAACTATAAAAAAACATGTAGGGCGAAACGTAAGAGTGGGAAAATGCATTAAGACAGTAAACAGGGTCAATTTTGATTTGATTTGCTGACATTTTAAACCCTTAAGTATGAAAAACAGCTGAGATGGTCTAAAAAGAGAAAATACTGGGTACCTTTTCTATTTCACATCCATCGTGTCATTGGTTACAAGGTGGACCGCACAGCCAGAGGTTTCTGAGATTCTTCCCCCATGTTATTTGGGGTCTGCGTCTGCGTTTTTCTAGGCCGTAGGGAAAAATAAAAGAATATAAAACTAAGAGATTGAGTGAGAGATGTGCTCTGAATGAAACAGGTCACCGTTTCTCCACACTCCTCATCCGCGCGGTTTCCCTCAGGATGTGGCAGCCAAACAATAGCAGCAAGAAATGCCTTAACGAGGAGAGAGAGAGAAACGGTGAGAAAGAGAGAGACGGAAAGAGCGACTCGGCTAATTACGGTGCACCTCATTTCTCTGACCCCCTCTCAACTTGTGTCTCCCTCACTCTCCCCGTGTTGGAGAAATGCAGCCAGAGGAGACTTTACACTGGCAGCACTCCAACAAGCCTGTGGAAATCACTCAAGCACAGTGACGGAAAGAAACTAACTAAAATTAGCACCAATACTTATCTAACTGCATTTTTTCAGTCGCTTAGATCTTTTCACAATAAATGTCACTTTTTCCCATGAGTACTAGCACC